GTTCTTCAGCGCTGCATATTTATTTCTTTTGAAAGTCCGATATATAGCTCTGCAATCCGCAAAACCCATGCTCCCCGTTGTAGCTCTGATGAAACAAAGTGTGTGACAGAGCTCTACAGAGAGACTGCTGCTTCCACACAGAGACCAAGGTTCCATCTTCACAGCATGCTGCCAGGGGTCAGGCTGTTCTACGTAGCCTGTGGTTGCTTTCAAACAAAACAAACTGTACAACTTTGCACACCTTTTATGTTCTGATACACCTGGAATGTATTTAGCTGATATAAACAGTTCGATTTGGCGTTATTAAAGATCACACATATGCGACTTAAACATTTCTAACAAGTGTTTGTTTGTCTTTGTGGATGCAGTGAGATGTATGTTTGTATGGCATTGACTCAGACATAAAGTCAATGGTAAACAGTAGGTGGAGTATGTCTGTTTAAATGATAAGTTCGCCTTAAAATATAATAAATGCACATCTCTTTGCAGGTTAAAAAAATGTGCATTTTTTTTTTTTTTTTTTTTTTTTTACTAGGAGCCTGCAAAGCATTGCACCCACATTCAGCAGATCAGGGGTGCAATCTCAGGCTCCTGCTGACTGTCCATGTATCTATATGCTTGAACCCCATACAGGCAGGCAGTTACTGAATGACAGGAAGCATCATTGAACTAACTAGAGCGCTCAACAGTGCCCTGGTAGTTCACTGAGAATACAAGTTGTCAGCTGCAAAGGCTTGTTGGTATTTGTAGTTCTCCCATTCACAGAACTCTGTGAATGATGCAGCCAGATGGGCAGGGCTGTCAAGGTCCTACCTTTTCCCTGAGGTTATGTTACTCCATGTGCTGGCGTCCTTCTTGGATTCTGCTGTGCATGATGGGAATCCTTTTATGCCTTCAGGTTTCTGTGGTCCATCCCCCAGAGGGGTGTGGCTGATGACATATAAGCCTGTGGCCCGCACATGCTCTTTGCACTTGTGTCTTGTGTCTTTGTGTTGCTATTACTCTGTTCTGACTCTTGTGACTCTCCTGGTATTCTGATTCGGCTTGTGACTTGACTATTCTTTGTATTCTCCTTTGATCTGACCCTCTGTTGCTGAACCCGGCTCGTGACCTGTGATTCTCGTCTGCTGTCCTGTACCGTTTTGTCCTGTTGTTGTTGACCCCGGCTTGTCTGACTACTCTTTTGTCTCTTCCACCAGCTACACGCCATTGGCGGCGGCCATTACCGCAGCTGAGGTGTCTCGGGGGCCGCAACCTGGTTCCTGGCTGCGTCAAGTCCATCCCCACCATCAGGGGCCCTGGTGAAGGGCAGCCTGGGACTTAGACTCCGCGCCCTGAGGGACTTCGGTCTGTGGGTGGTGGTTGTCGTCAGCCAGTGCGTTACATTGTTAGGCCTGCCTGTCCGTTCCTCAGCTCCTGCCCTGACAAGGGCCCCACATGACCATGTTTTTTTTTTTAAATTGTGACAGTGGGTATGAGGAGAGGATCCCCTGCCCGCTGTCACAACGGGGGATCAGGGGGATGTGAGGGGCAGCTGCTGCAAGAGTTACATGGGTTGCAAAAGGTGAACGTATCCTTTAAGGAATGATATGGACATTTGACTTATCCCTTCTGTTGATATTCACTACTGTTCTATGTGGTCCCAGATTAGGACACCTCAACATTTCTAGTGCAATCTTCCTCACTTATTGGATTTAATGAGTGTCCTAGTGATCCCAGTTGTTGACTCTTGAATTCTGGGATATACGTAGGTAAGGACAGTTGTGGGTAATCTGAAAGAAACAATCTCCTCTCAAACAAGTAAGGAATACCAGATACAAGAGGGTCCGTGTTGATGTTAGTAGCCAAAGATCACAACCACCAAAAAATTATTCTTAACAAATGTGGCTTTCCATGTCATAACTCACAGGTTTTCTCCCATGGTTAGACTTTAATTTATATGCAAGTATAGCCGAGTCATGAGTATTTTCTCTTTTACTATGTTCCCTTAATTCAGTCTTCGTGTCCTGCATTTGGCTTTCAGCTCTGTTATTATAGCATAATTAAATACACCACAGCTATGCAAGTTTCCTTTTGTTTGTTTTCCTTCCTACAGACTTGTGAACAGAACTTGCCTGTAGGCATAGGAATAATTCCAAGGAAGAGGCAGTAGCAAAATGAACTTGTACATAACCTTATGTGTTTTGTAACTTTTTATGGGATTTATGTTTTAGATTTTAATGATGTGATTTTGTTTCCTTAATTGGTGGTAACTTGCACAAGTATATGTAAACCTTCACCTTGTAAAACAACCCATTCAGTTTAAAATAGATTTGAAAGGTAAAACGTGTGTATACATATAAAAAAAAAAATTATCAGCATCTTTTTTTAAATATTTATTATAAGTGATCAGATACCCTCTGTTGCACAAGGAGCCCAGAGAGCTAGGGGAGGAGAAACAGCATAACACTGGTCTCCCCAGTGAATTGCAGTTCTGGGGGGTTGGGGGGGGGTGTCAGTCTGTTTTCCTCCAATGATCATTTCTTATTCTGAGTTCCCAGTACAACTAGACCATGCTGTGCTCTCATGACTAGTGTGGTCGCTTTTTCTATTTCAATGATTTTTATTAATTTTTTTTAAACAATATAAAGCAGAGGCAAGAAAACACGCCCACGCAGGGGCTATCAATTGCACAGATTAAAAAAAAATGCAAAATAAAAAAAAAAGAAAAACAGTGCTCTAACGCCAACAGGGCAAAAGGTACGCCCACGCAGGGGCTATCAATGGCACATAAGTTGCAATACATTAATGTAACTGCCTATAACAACTAAATGCAGCTGTCCAGTCACACCAAAAACAGAGAGAGAAGGAAGAAAGAGGAAAGAAAAAAAAAAAAAGGGGGGGGGGGGCAAAGAGCAGGGGTCCAAGAGCGCCAATACCGAACGCCATTACATCCCCAGACTAGCCAGGGGGAGTGAGGGAAAGGCGTATTGCAACCACGGCTCCCATATTTTCAAAAATTTACGTTGAGAGTCGTTGAAGATACTCGACATCTGTTCGTTGAGCATCATAGTGGTCATACGGTCCTGCACCCCCTGAAGAGGGACAAACGGACTCTTCCAGGCCTGAGCAATTGTTCTAGTAGCCGATAAAAACAGGTAGGAAGCCAACTTCTGCTGATGAGCCAAGAGGCCCGGTATGGGGCAATGAAGCAAAGCATACCGAGCATCCCAGCGTATGGAGAGATGGAATAAAGTGAAAAGGAGGCCAAACACACAAGACCAAAAACGAAACAGTCTCGGGCATGACCACCAGATATGCAATACATCTCCATGATGGCCACAACCCCGAAAACATTGAGTGTGGTCACTTTTTAAAGGGAAAGCAGAGGGACTGACAGGATCACCAGGGATTTCACACAAAGGGCATAATACAAAGAACAGGATACGTTTTCATACAAGTACATGGTACAACAGACACATACCAGGAATATGAAATGTTAGGTTTACATGTTCTTTAACTTTAAGCTTGATCTACAAAAAAAAAGCAGTGGTTAAAAGAACATCTTCAATTTATACCCCTGAAACACATATGACTGACAGAATAGTATTAGTTGTACCCCATACACTGAAAAGTCTAATATTAACTATGGTAATGCAATGTTCTAGAACAGGGGTGGGCAAACTTTTTGACTTGAGGGCCGCAATGGGTTCATATATTGGACCTGGGGGCTGGACTAGCTGCTGGCCGGCCCAGCCACTACCGTGCCATCCATAGTAAGTATAGTAATATTCCCCCATAGTAAGCATAGTAATTTAATCCCCCATATAGTAATTCATCCTCCCTATAGTAATTCATCCCCCCTATAGTAATTCATTCCCCATATTGTGTCAATTCACTTACCTTTGCTCCGCGCGTTCCTCTCGCCGTGTTCCCGCACCGTTCCGGTCTTCAGGGCGGACTGTGAGAGGAGAGGAGTTCGTCACGCTGCCCCCGCCTACATCCTGACAGCCAATGTTTGCCACGCTCCGCGGGCCGGATTAAAAGGTCCGCCGGGCCGTAGTTTGCTCATTGCTGTTCTAGAACCTGCAGTAGAAATGTAGATATTATAGACACACTAAAAAGTCAAAACTGTACAAATTAACTCCCAAATGTCCATACGCCATCTCCTACAATTTCTCCCTTTTTGTTTTTTTTAAGAGGGACATTGTTTGAAAAGGAGCAAGGACATTTGAGAGTCAATCCATATCTAGTGTTCCATTAACCCCTGCTATGTATCTCTGCATAACATAAGAAGGTTGACAATCCTTTTCATTGGAATTATTTCTGGAATTATATTCAAATTGTTAAACTCTTTCTTATATGGTGGTGTTGACCTTTCTTCTGAGAGTTGCAGAAGAGGTGTTTTTAATACCTCTGCTAATACGTTTCCATTGCAGTCAAATCTAAACTTTGGAATCTGATATCTTGATTGAAGATTACAAACTGTAAACTTAACAGCAGCAGTAAATAAATTGCACATCATACTACTCTGACCCACAACTACTTTATCTGTTGACTTTGTAAAAACTAAACAAGTTAAAAGAAAAAAAAATTGGTGATTTGAAAAATTAGCTTGCATGAAGGTTAGGATCAATATTTTTCATGTGGCTTGGGAACCACAGTTAACTTTAAAACCTAATCACGCATAAATTAGATTCTTTCCGTTGTGTGCTGCTCACTTCATCATAGGCAGTTCAATATTTATTCTAATTTTCTTTAAATTTGTATCCATTAATTAACATTTCCATGTATATCTTTGTAAGGCTAACCATCCTTTTTATGTGATTATATTTTATTAAATAGGCTTTTCTGACACCCAATAATATTTAGCAAAATGCCTGAAAGGGAAAAATAATGCATATATGAAAATAAAATTACTGTAATATAAAACTTTTTATGGCACATGCGACATTAATTCTTTGTGTTTTACATATCCCTGAATTTTCTCATCATGGTTTTACTTCTCCTTTGATGTACAG